TCCGTCTGTCTGTCTGTCTGTCTGTCTGTCTGTCTGTCTGTCTGTCTGTCTGTCTGTCCGTCCGTCCGTCCGGCAAATCAGTTTTCCACTTTTTTTTCTTCGTGCTTGAAGATATTGATTTGATATTTGGTGTATTGTTTAATCATGACAAGTTACAGATCAAGTTAGAATTTTGTTCCGGTCTGACGATTTTGTGCAGAGTTATGGTCCTTGAACTTAGAAAATTCACTCAAATAATCAGTTTTCCACACTTTTTTTGTCATGCTTGAAGATATTGATTTGATGATTGGTATATAGTTTTATCATGACAAGTTACAGATCAAGTCCGAATTTTGTTCCGATCTGATGATTTTGTGCAGAGTTATGGTCCATGGACTTTTCACTCAATTAATTTTCCACATTTTTTTTCCGTCATGCTTGAAGATATTGACTTGATATTTGTTATATAGTTTACACCATGACAAATTATAGATCAAGTTAGCATTTTTGTTCCAGTACAGTGAATTTTTAACCGGTAGGGGGCTATGTATTGCCAGGCTATTCTCACAGAATGCTTGTTGTATATCATATGTCAGTGATACCAATTTGTGTTTGGTGTTCTTTGGCTTGTGGTAATGGGCATACACCTTTATCTCCATGCAAGTTGATTGAATTGCAATATTACACAACTACTTAAAATTCCACCTGATAAATATGTATTGGTAAGCATTTGAATATGATAACCGACTAAAGTGTGTAAACTATTGATAGCTAAATCAATAAATGCTCTCAATATTGTTTTGGTAGATACTTAGTCATGACTATGTTTCACAATGTTTTTTACATATTTGAATATTACCTATACGCATTTTGCTTTGTCTAGAAACTGACGATAATATTTATATAAACATATTAAGATGGTATGATTGCCAATGAGACAACTATCCACCCGAGTCAAAATGGTGTGCATGTTAACAGATATAGGTCACCGTATGGCCTTCAACAATGCATTGTTATGTAAAAAATAAGTATACGGGTTGTATAAAAACGTCAGTAGGAATATCGTAAGTCTGTATCTAATAAGAAAAGTCCGTTCCACGTTGACGTGTGGGTTGATACAAGGTATGGGTTAGCATCGTGGGTCACATGTGCGATTTCAAGTCATATTCAGCAGCATGATGCCAGATGTTTTACAAAACTGGTAATAATATTAGATGGAGGATAACAAGAATGCATAATCTGATAGATAAAACATGTCTCTAGTAAAAGAGAGGCGAAAGATATCAAAGGGACATTTAAACACATAAGGCGAAAATAAACTGTCAAGGCCATGGCAAAAAAGAGGCAAAAAAGAGGGGAAAAGACAAACAACAGTATAGAAAACACAACGTAGAAAAATAAAGACTGAGCAGCACGAACCCCGCCAAAAACCGGGGTGATATCAGGTGCTCCGAAAGAGTAACAGATCCTGCACCACATGTGGCACCCGCCGTGTTGCTCATATAAGTACAAACCCAGTGTTAAGTCTAATTCGGTAGGTCACATTCGGGGAAAAGGAAGGCGGGATTTAGGTTACGACGATTGGAACATATCCGTGAAACAGATCAACCGTAACGGTCAACCAACTCGTGATGGCGTCCGTTAAATGTTTGTAGAGATGATTTCAACTTCAACACCTTGAACTCTTGGTTTAAAAGGTTCCATGTGAGCAGCAACCCTCTTTCAAGGAAATCATGATATGAAACGCAAGCCCAGGAATATCGTATCAACTGGGAGATATATACTCCATATGCAGGCGCTGCTGGAATGTTGCTAAATAGAAATGGAAAGTTCACAATTGGAAAGCTGAAATCATCTCTTTTCTCGTAAATTTTTGTTAAACCGACCCTCATTGTCAATTTCTAGATGCAAGTCAAGATATGAGGCACACTAAACTGTATCTGTTTTGTCCTTTATTTAAAGTTCGAGGGGATAGATGCGTTCAACATAGTCACCAAGCTTTGATTTTTTTTTTAGTGAGAGGACATCATCTATATAGCGGAGAGTGAAGTTAAAGGATAATGCTTGCTTCTTTTCATTCTTCATAAGAAGCTCCTGTATGAAGTCAGCTTCATATGAATACAGGAACAAGTCGACAAGAAGAGGAGCACATTTAGTTCGCACGGAATACCGATTGTTTGTTGAAAAACACGTCCTCCAAACGTAGATAGTAAGTTGAGAAACAATTACACTCAAGGTCATTGCATTGGAGATGGTGAACGTAAAGCCGTAAAGATTGTTATAAAATGTAAAGAGTTACAACAGTCGTTCTTCTTCATAATATAAAAATAAGTTGTCGTATGATTGCCAATGAGACACTTCTCCACCAGAGACCAAATGACGTATAAATTAACAAGTATAGGTCCCCGTACGTTCAATAATGAGCAAAATCCATACCGCATAGTAAGCTATAAACGGCACCAAAATGATAAATGAAAAACAATTCAAAAGAGAAAACTTACGGCCTGATTTATGAACAAAACAATAAACGAAAAACAAATATGATAAACAGCAACCATAATAACAATGCTTGTGTAGTTTTAGGTTGAGAGTATAATTGGTACAATTGCCATGACGAGACGTTTTCTGGTAAATAGTATCAATTAATCGTTGACACTTAAAAGTCTATACTAATTTTGACACTCACGTATTTTGTAAAAAGCTTCCATCTCATTTTAATCCACACATGTACTTTGACAATAACCACGTTACTCGTGGTTCGCTAGCAATCCCCATATACTAGTTAACTTCGAAAACTCTATTCATGCAAAAGAAAAGTTGGACAACAAAAAAGATTCTTTCAAAACAGTAAACATTCTTGAAATAATAATTTTACCAGTAGTACAATACATTGATTAATGCAAACGTTTCCTTTTATCATTCACAGTCTTCCTACTAAGAATAAAATAAAATGTTGGAAATACAAACAGTGAGACAGCAACCAAACAACACAAACACATCTAGAGGTCACTTTTAACTTCATTTTTTGTAGTTCAATCGTAGCATGTATCGCCGTCTTTTGAGATGAAGATATGATTTATCTCCGAAAACACTTAAATATAATTATGTCCATGTTCTGATGTTGTTCGTATTGTCCCAGTTTAAGTAGTTAAAAGTGTAGTTATATTTCAGGTGAATGTCCATTTCAATATTGCAATCTTTAAAGGGGCATTAGCTGTCAAATTCATGTTCACCGATTTGGCTCAAATTCTCATATTTGATTCATAACATACTAAAACGTGTATCCAAAATACAAAAAGTCTAAAAATAAACAATTAACAATGGACTCGATAATATGTATCAGCATTTCGTGTGTATTTCTGTCTAGATGTCATCTAATTAACCACCGAGATGACCTCCGAAGACTGCCGACGGTCATATAACCCAATATAAACTTAATATAAATAGATAGCGATCACGTGCAATTGGATTATTTTAGGTCTGTTTGATTTCATATTGTATGTTAAAAAGAATGTTTTTACCTGTATAAGAATGATTTTTTTGTGGATTGCATCAGTCAACCAAATGCTTCATCTTTGTTTCACTTTCAATGATGACATTCTTTTCCTTTTAATAGCTGAATACATGCGTAACCCATCTCCAGCTAATGGGTTAATTGGAGGTCACATGCAAACGGTTTCAATAAGGTCGAATTATTCACTTGCAAGTGAATAATTCATCAGCGATCATGTCTCTTAGCTTATTTTGACAAAATTAAACCAAACTGGCTGCTAAAACCGAATTATTTTTTTCACTATTTCACTTTCATTAAAGATTGAACATAAAAATCATATTTTTTTTATATCTCGTAGCTAATGCACCTTTAAGTAGGTTCAGATACTGTTTTATGCCCATAGCCACCAATAAAGACTACCATATTTGAGTATTGCTTAGCCTTACAGTATTTGAGTCATTTAAACGCGATTTAAAGCTCAAATTGTTGTCTATAAGAAACCAACATCGGTTACACCAGGGAACTAAACATCAACCATTATCTGTCTTATACAATTTAGATTTTTTTCTGAATATCAATAAAAACTATCAACTTTTAAATACTAAGACCTGAAAATCTTTTAATCAGGAGATCTTTAAAAAAGCTTAAAAGACTTTAATATATATCACTAGGAAGTATTCAATTAAAAGGTATTCAATTTACAGGTTTCCTACACAGTTTATCTCCTTTGACATAAATCGACCAAATGGTATAGAAACTTCGTCATGATAAGATAAAAGTGCAACTTTAAGCAATATAGAATGCATTAACTCTTTCATCTACAGATTCATTATACTTGAAATTAGTTGAAAACAGTTATGAAAAGGAATTATTTCAATCAAGATGGTATATAAAAAAAAAAAATAACCGCATGTATCAAATTAACAAAATGTTCGTTTTTCTTCTGCATTTGAATCGGATTTTAAAATCCATTTATATAAATGATAAAAAAAATTCTATGAATTCAACTTTCTGTGACTTTCTTGCATATTGATTGCTAACAGTACAAGTATATTTAACGTACTTATATCTTTTTTTTAAAACTTTTTGCTTATTTGGTCAAATGGTGAAAATAAAGTGTGTCGAAAGTTGTAATTTGGTTTGGTTAAGATTATATGTACTTCAGGATTAAGGTTGATGTGGAAAGCGCTCAACCAAATAAACATATCATTTAGTTTAACTATGACAAATTCTTTAAAAGAATCAAAACGAATTACCTATTATGGCCATGATACTATCCGTAGTTTACATTCAGTACTTGAACACAAAATTAACTTTTTTTTATCACAAGAGATAGTTTATTTCAAATATTGCCATCTAAACATGATCATTTTACAACCAGCGTATCTTTAAAATTTCCTGCGTATGATTAACTTGATACGTCCAAATGAGTTACAAAAGCTTGCCATGTTCTGTAAGCAATTGTTACTTCTTCTTTGATTCTTCAATGTATAGAGATACGTGACGAATAATTAATTAGATTGCTTCAATTATTTTATTAAAAGAAATTTGCAAACTTTTTCAAAGTTCAGAACCGACACAATGATGGCATGTCAAAATATTATCTGGATCAACCTCTCTCTTTATCGATAACAACCGACTATAATGTGGTCCCCAGTAGTTTTGTTGCCAATTAGACATGTATTCTGCAGCTTCGTTAACGTATGTTCCATTGCCGTATGATATCAAACGTTGACTGAGTTCTTTCCCTTTTTTAATATAGAAATCCTCACGTGTGATGTCAGGTATTGCCACAACGCACCCAAGACATAATCTGGCATGTCTGAAACCTGGATGGACCGGGGTATCACTAAAATCGGATACTCTACCTATAAGAAAAATAAGTTTTTTTCTGTTAAATTGATATTCATTCATTTATTGAAAAAGTTGATTGTCATGTAAAGATATGAGGAGTGTCAACGGCAATTAAATCCATATAACGAAAATTGAGAGGACAATCAAGGCCGGAGAGCTGATGAAACCTTGTTGAATTTGAATATTTCAAAAGAGTCCAAATTATACGCTTTGCCACGGCGTTGTCATTTTCTTTTCTACTTATCAGCTTTGAGTGTCTCCTTGGTAGCTTCTGTCCCTTTTTAACGAGTTTTTCACCATTTTAACATCTATCCATAAAATCGAAATAATTATTCAGCGTTACATATTGAAAAAAAAAATTGCTATAAAATTGCAATATTACAAATATTTCTTTGTACAATTTTACATCGAAGGATGTCTCCAACCAACTGGAATAAATGTACATGTTGAAGCTACCGCATATCTTTACTTCCAATAGACTTTTGCCTGGGTCCAGAATGCTTTTTAAGTTTATTCTTGGTCAATACTAAAAATTTGCTTAAATGATGAGAAAATTGCCGTTTGGATAATTTTTCAGGCGTTTATAATTTAATCGCATTACAGTTAAAAAGATCTAAAAAGAGTTCACATTTGAGGCGGTGAAGAATTAATGACTTTTTGAAGTCTTTGGAGGAAATTGGTTCTTCCTCTTTATATTGAAATTTTATCAAGCTGGTTATTTTTTGCTTTAAAGTGTTTAAAATGTTTATTCCTGTCCTGCATTTAAACGTTTACAAAATGAAATTTCAATCTGATAAAAGATTACTTTCGTTTTTTAGCTTACCATTGACGTGTACCCCTCATCACTTTTTATTCATGAACATTTGATGGATTAAGTTCATCTCACACAGACAAAGTTAGTAAACGGCGATTTTTCGAAAGATGGATGAAAATAAAGGGTAACATACATTTTTTGGGGGAGGGGTGATTAAGTCATGCCTATTTTACATTTCGAAGCCTTCCCAATAGGTAGAGATATCATGTTAGGGTTTATGTTGTTTTTTTGGGTTTTTTTTAAAAGTGAAGTGCATTAACATCATTGATACTTTTAATATTTTAGATTTCTTGTTTCAGAGCATATTTGTGGCTGAACTTTTTCTTTAACTTTGACCGTTTCGAAATCTTAAATTTTCTAATCATGCGAAAAAGCACAGAAAAAGGTTGCACACCATGCGGGTGTAAGCCGTAAATGGTAAAGTAATCCAAACAATAAAACCAAACGATGCTCTATAAAACATGAGTAACAAATGCATAAAGTCAGTTCAAACCATAAAACCAACCTCCTAAATGTGTTCCAACACAGGCATACAGCGGAATAGTGTCATTAATTGGCCGTGTCATAGTTTCCACAATAAAATCTTTCAAAGATGTGTCTAATCCTGCCTCCTGTATAAACGATCCAGTGACGTACACTCTGTTCCAGGGACTGTCAGTCATAACGCTTCCAAAGCCTTCCCAGAACGTAGAAATGTTCCGAACAGTGTATTCTAATCGCCATTCAGGATGGAAATCATTCCATAAATCCATATATTTCCTACTGGAATCATTCCATCCACCATAGTGGCAATACAAAAATCCTAAAGTGCCGATCACAGATTCGTTGGTTTTAGTGACATGTTGTGCATTTGAGAGAAAGGAATATCCTCCCCATTCGTTAGGCATGCCTTTAACAAAATTAGAATAAAATTGCATTACCTCTTGCCCAATTGAGGAGTTTCCGTTAATGGATAACGGATAAGTCATCGTTACCTTGACATATTGACGCTTGATCTTGTGAAGTTTGAATGTAAACGATGCTACGATACCGAATGTTCCCCCACCTCCACCTCTAAGAGCCCAGAAGAGTGATGTGTCTGACGTCACAGAAAAGCTGCCATCTGGATTATTAATGTATGACGTATGATTGGTACACTTAATAATACTTCCGTTCACTGTTATGACCTGTAAAGATGAAAAAAACATGAAATGTTTATATAAGAATTGTTAAAAAGGCATATTGAAGTTTTTGTATTACCCTCTTGGAATTTCATATTTTTCACAAATTGATCATGTTTGATTAAAGCTTATCTAAATTACATTCTTCTCGATATAAAAGCTTTTTTGCATATAAATCAGGCCGTTAGTTTTCTCGTTTGAATTGTTTTACATTTGTCATTTTGGGGCCTTTTATAGCTTACTATGCAGTATGGGTTTTGGTCATTGTTGAAGTACCTATAGTTAACTTCTATGTCATTTGGTCTTTGGTGGAGAGTTGTCTCATTGGCAATCATACCACATCTTATTTTTTTTATTTTTTCAACTTTCATGACTCGATATATGCATATTTAAAACAAGTGGATAGTTGGCACTGTCAATACATGTTCTGCGAACCTCACATTTAATCGAGAGGAAATAAAAAAAAAAATGCCAAACATGTGTAAACACTAAACTCCGAAACATACAAATGAACCAAAATAAAAACAAAAACAAGATTATACGGTATGGATTGTCACTATTGAAGGTCGTACGGTTGCCTATAATTGCTTACATTTATTCATTTGAACTCTGGTTGATAGTTGTATCATTTGTAATTACACCACATCTCCTTAATTATATATATCAAAGGATAGAGGTCCTAGGACAGGCTAAAAAATGCGGCGGGGTTAATTACGTTTTGTGTGATCTTGACCCTACTTTTATCTTGAACTTGTTTTTGTTTTACTAAAACGAATAGACATCAAAATAACTAACTGTCATTTCCAAAACTTGATCAACTGCCAATCCCAACATCCGGGACAGTATGCTATGTCCTCCGCCCAATGTGTAACCACTAGGGGACACTGTCTGAGAGCTGCCACCAACAACAACTCTGTTATATTTATCTACCTGGAAAACAAAGCAAGATATGACTTACTAAAAACTAGTTTATTATTATTATTATTATTATTATTATTATTATTATTATTATTATTATTATTATTATCATCATAATTAATAAGGGGAGAACAAATCGGTCTTGTATTCTTATTGTGATTTTCGACAATTTTGACACAGCCATTGCTGAAACCTTTTCTAGTCTGTTTAAGAAAATGGTGCATTACTGTTAAGCAGTTTGATAGTTTTTTTTAGTTTCCATCAAGGTAGTTTCTTGTAAACTGATAACATATATAACAAAAGTCAGTATTTTCAGTTCATACGAGTTTCGTATATGCACGTTGGTAGTCTTCATTAACTAGATATATGCATACATACTTCTTGGTAAATTTCTTGCCAGTTTGCTCCACTTTCAACTGTCAGTTCTCCGTCAACAGATCTTGATGTACTTAACATTACTTTCATTTTTCTCATATATCCCAAGTTTATCTGAATACTACCTGACCAGCTTGATCGACCTATGTAATCGTGGCCAGATGACTTCACGACCACGTGCAAGTTGTATTTACTTGCAAACAATATTGATTGTTTAATGTCGTCTGTGGATAGAACCATGACAACGATTGCTGGAAACCTGTAAATGAATTATTATATAATATATTCTTATATCATAAGAAGTTGGTTTTTTTTTTTTTAAGTTGAAATATAGATTCATAAAAAAATATTCTCTTAAGGTCACAGTAGTTTACACATACTCCTGAACTTAAGAAATAACAGTTGCATACGAGTCCCTTGAATTGATACATAAATGTTAACAGTTCCTTACACTTTTGAAGCCAGTCTGGAAAACGGTAGTATTTTGTCACCAGAGGCGATTATACTCGCATTTTCTTAATTGGCTACTTTTAATAACAAAAATCTAAACAAGAAAGTAAAGTGAGAAGCAAACACTTTATTATTCTTTTTAAGAAATTAAAGCCAAATGACAGCATGGCCATCTTCGTTTTCAAAAAAATCACAATAACAAAAATTTCCATGGGTTTCAAAATTTACACTATTAATAAAAATACTGCATTTGTTCATCAATAAATAAAATATATATTATTATACACATACTGCCCTTGGATGAAGGTGTTAGGGTAGATTAACACACGAGGGAAAAAATTATCACCAAAGACGAAGTCGCGGGTGATAATTTTTTCAACGATTGTGTTAATCACCCTAACACCTTCATCCAAGGGCAGTAAACTCGTTTATCCCATCGCAGAGCTGCCATAGGACTAGCTTTATCTGAATAGGGTACACAATACGACTATCTAATGCAAAAAAATGAAATACTACTATTTCCCCTCTAGTTTGTAAGGGAAGGACCATGAGGACAGTACCACATTCATAGGGGAACTAAACATACCGGAACTTTGCTATCTTGGCATTATGACGTGGTAAAACAGCTTTTTTACCGTTTAACTCAAAATATTAATCATTTAGACGCATTTTATTTTCAGTGAAAAAATTCTGTTTACTAAAATTACATGTTTTGGAATACTACCTTGTAAATAATTTGTTGTGCATGTTTGTAACATCTTTGTATGTGTTGTTAGACGGGAGTACAACGTAGCCATCAATTAACTGCTGGAACATTGCAATTTCCGTCAAAGACGGGAAACAATCATTGCCAGGGTAACATCGTTTGCTACAAGGTTCTGGTACTGCTGTAGCAAACACAACCAGTAATCCTGTAGTCAACAGAAGTTGAAACAGGCTGCAAAAACAATTAGGAAATATATTTGTAACTGTAATGTATTTGAAGATTAATCTGTATTTATTGATGAGTTGATGGTTTTCTGGCGACAGATGAACTGTTCAGATCATATACTGTAAATAACACCAAAGCCTAAATATTTTCTTCTGTCATTTGGTAGCTATGGCCTGTATTAATTCTTCGTCACTATGTGATGCTTCTTCAAAATAATTCATTAGCAGCTCTTACAACACAAGCTCTTAGCCATCCAATTTGTTTGTAAAATAAACGCGCGGGCATAGAATCATGTGCAAAACAGTGTAGGCGAGACCATTGATTGGCGCGCTAAAATATCCCATTGACTGGGTCAGATTAGGTGAACGTTCGTCTGTAACGCCCACAACTCACGACGTATTTATTATAAACATTTAAACTGTGGGGTTGCCAAATGGTTTCAGTATATATACGAACTACAGTGCACAGTATATTATATACATATTTTATTTGCGATCATAAAATGTACGAAGTCGTCCATTACTATGTAAATTGGGTCGATTAAAAAAAAGCTGAAATTGTTTCTGTTGCCAAGGGTTTTTCACAAGTATAGTAGTTAGCAGAAAAGTTCACCAAACTATACATTTTACCTATTCAAAAACGTAAATGCAAATTCCACAAGGCTTGATCCAAATAGCCTTTTTATTGTCTAATAACTTGCAAGTACGAAAAAGACAGGACAGAAGTATATTTTGTCTATATGTTTTGTGTACGCACACTTTTTAAAGTTGATCATGCATTCGTTCTAAAATAAAATTTTGACCAGATAAAAGTTAAAAGATGACATAATTGGACATGCAACCGCAATTGTTAAATCGCTTTGACGTCTGAAAAAAAAAAGATAATAATCCACATGCATTGTAACTTTTAAAGCCAGTTAAATCCTTTTTTTTTTGTTGAAAGAACGTGCGATGTCATAAAAATTGATTATCAAAACATAACGAAAACACAAGTAAAGAACGTTTACACTGAAATGCAGTCAAGTTTAGCGATTGATAATTCATTGATAACATTCTGGCGTATCACAAACAAACAACTTGTAACGTCTCACTTCATTGGCCGAAAGATTTAAATACAACAACAATTGTTGTGTGCACGTGAATTGACACAGGTGACCGACAATGGAATGTACTACGTTACTACGAACGTAAAAAACAATGATTTTTGGTCGAAATAATTAAATAAGTATTTTGTGAATTTCAAATAGTGGGGTCGAAATATTATACTAATAATTTGTGTTAAGTCATGCAGCACTTGTACCGCACTATGAAAAATATAAGGATAAAATAAAATACATGTGCCGCTTTTATACGGATGAATGTATGAATCACTTTAATTTCTTTCATATTGACGCTAGGTTATTATCCTGACAATGTCGTAGTTACTTATAATACGGATCTCATAATACTGATCCATTTCAAATTTATGATGGGTTGCACATTCCTCTTTTATTGTTTTCATGCTATAAAACGAAAATAAAGAAGCTAAGCGTTTGGTCATTCAGAAATGACGTGTCATAAACGAGCAAATTGTCCCCGAAAGATCGTACCATGTGTGCACGTGAATATAGATGTACTATGCAATGTACTATCATGGTCACCACGAAATTCAAATGAATTCAGTGAAGGCATGTTGGTGTAAAAAGGTTTGAAATGTTTCATCGGCGAAGATTTTATTTTTTCATTTGTGGAACTAAAAAATAAATAAATACTTGTGAGAAATGTCGTAGTTTATAAGGAACTATATAAAATGTACTGTTTTCGATTTTGATTGGTTGAAAATTTATCCTTTAATTTCATACCGTAAGAATAGAGCTTTGCATAACATTGTTGAACAATCCGCCAAAGTAACGTGTGGCATGCGTGCGTATTAAAATGAAATACAAAATCATACATGTATGATAAACTTATAAACGAAATATTAAGAAATTAAGGATGACTACTGTAAAAGTATGTACAAAAATGGAGTCACCTTTTATCAATACATTTAGTGAATAACCACACTGTTTAAAACTGATTGTTTTCTTTGCAACTATTTAAATATTTACAATATATAATTTTCAACCTAGGATAGCAAAACAGTTAATTATAAATTAAGAAAGTATATCGCTGGAGTTTATAAAGTACATTTCCTTCCACTGTGCCATGGTTTGCCATCTCCATTTTTTCTCTAAACAAAGCATGGCTGGTTACATGTTCTGAATTTACTTAGAATTTCGGGATTTTTTTTTCAAAATCAAGTAAACTAAATCAGAAAAAAAATCACACTATCCTAAAACTTATGAAAGAATATGAATAATGAACATGACAGTTTATAACACAAACCCATTTACTATAAAAATCGAGCAATATCTTTAGTATGTAATTTGGTTATTTTTGTAGTTAAGTACGGTTTCATTTCAAGTACAACGTTAATTCATCAAGTCCATTGAATAAAAGATAAGGCAGGGTGAGCAACTTGACAAAAAAAAGGCAGGATGACGATTTATGTAAAAAATCAGGATAAACGAATAAATATAGTCAGGACCTAACAGACTGAAAAATAGAAAGACAGGACAGAGATAACAACTAAAAAAAATGCAGGACAAAATGTTTCATCCAAGTCCTTCACCCCCAATCAAAATAAAATGGTAGCTCCCTTAATCCAGGACCAATTGAGAGGATACAGTTGAATTAAATATTTCGACGTGACTGTTAAGATTAAAGTTTAAAATTTTACATGCACATGTATAAAAGCTAGAATTGCCATGCGATATTCAAGAACACAATCATGTTCGGGAATACGACGATGGAAGTTTTTAACGACCTTGACCGGCTACGTGAATACTGATCAGTCCATTCAGCTTTATAGTACGCGTGTTCTATTTTCGTAGGTGTGAGGTCGAAGGTTTGAATTGACCAATGAAAACGATCGTTCCTTAACGAGTTAATCTAATAAAGTATGTTTGACTGATTATGTTGCACGACCTTTCGCTAAGCTTGACCGCAGTTCAGTGTAAGTATTCAATATAAATCAAAACACAAAGGTTATTCCTGATTAGTTTTTCGAATTATTTTATTTAGGCGTTGAGACCCTTTGGTGACCTCACAGTTTAAATGTCTATAATATATACGTCGTGAGTTTTGGGCGTTACAGACGAACGTTCACCTAATCTGACCCAGTCAATGGGATATTTTTGCGCGCCAATCAATGGTCTCGGCTACACTGTTATGCACATGATTCTATGTGAAACGGCTATAATATCCGATGATATTTCAGAAATAATAAATGTAAGGAATTGATCAAACCAATTGTCGTTCTTAAATATTATTGCCTTGAAATATACGTTATAGCTAACAGTTTAAAGACATTTTATCTGTATAAACTAACACAACATTAGGGTACTGTAATGACCACATACAAATATTTAACGCGGTTTTTTAATTTTCACCACAGCTGTAGACCTTTGAAATATAAAACTATCCTATGTCTATATATTAACACCAAGTAATCAGTTAAAATTATAGGTTTACAAAAAACAGACTGAAATCTAGGTAAAAAGAAAACTTGCCATTTTTTTGGGTATGAATTATAGTAATACAAATCCTCAAAATAGAACATTATAGAAGCCACATCAATTTTGTATATGACTTTTATCCACAATTGAATATTTATAAATGTCTTACCGTGCCATTTTGACTGTCCTTTTCAACCGTACATAATTATGTAACTTCTAACTATCAGATATTTTATTATCTCAGCAGCAAAACTATTTAAATGGCCTGAATAGTTAAATACGAGTGGACATTCACTCGACAAAGTAGTATTTCAGATCGAGGACAAAATTACATAAAAAGGGGGAAAATTTATATGGCAATGGACAAATCAGTTAATTATTAAATTCGACCGGTTTTGACCATTTGTCAGAGGACTAACTCATCATATATCTTTTTTTTAACGGCACCAGTAATTAGCTTGAAATTAAGTCATCGTGTTTATACAATTTCACTGGTGGATCACGTGCATATTTTTATCTGGCATCTTCGATTTTGTTTAATGTAATAGTTTTTTTTACTAAAGTATCATAGTATCAACTGTTTTGATATCATACATTGATGGAATCTTTTTCCTAAATTGAGAAACAATGAGGTATCATGTATAACATCGTGATTGAGTGTGCTTAAAAACTTTCCAAGTAAAGAAAGAGCGCAAGGTTCTGTGTGCATATAATTTCGCCCCCATTACCTATGAGTGCATATGACACATGCTTTTTTTTTACAACCTTAAAAAGTTCGAACAAGGCCAGGAGTATTAGGAAAATACATTAATTTTTGTAAATATCAAAGAGCATCAACAAAAAACAAAACAAAAACCGTCAAACTATATCTGACAGATTCAGTACAGTTTCGAGTGACATTTTTAATTTATTGCCTATCATCTTTCCTTAGCAAAACCAACATTTTTTAAAACAAAAATGAACGCTTTAATAATAAGTAAAATGAGATGTAGATCATACAGCAATGAGAAATCAAACCAACGACAATATTATATGTCAAACTCTATATCGTTCAAAGTCTTTAAAATTTGTGAATAAATTAAAAAATAATACACAATTAAGATTAGTTATCCATATCAAGTTCTTCAAATAACAGAAAACATTAAGATATATGGAATAAGACAACCGCTAACAATATCTCTGACTTGGGACAGGCACATAAACATTTTTATAAATCTGAACCCTTCCACTTTTAAGTTCGATATATGGGCTAACAAAGAGTATATCATGAAATTACCATGCATTAAAATCAGTTCATGAAAAGTCTTCACGTAACAACGATATATTAGAAAACAAAAATAGAAATACACAATATCATTGCGTATTAAAGAATGTTCGCATTTAATGAAAGTAAGATGA